CATAAAAACACAAAAAAAGACCTGATTGACCTATACGACATCATGTTTGACTTGTGTAATATCGTGACCAGTAGACCCCATGCTAAAGACCGAAAATACTTCTAATTTCTATGCTAAAAGCAAATAAACTTTATAATGGTGACAGAGAATGGTACAAATGCCCTAAGTTTTGGTCAATCTCTCAAATATTTGAGAAGCTGACCAAAAGGGGGAAAATTATTAAACTATTTAGGCCTATAACAACTGCATACTCCCACCCTTTGATTCCTATAGATAGGCTGTTTTTCGGAGTTGGTTGCTAAATTACAATCACAGCAGCTAGACTTCAGTCAATCACAGACATCCTGCCTTTTAAACCATATTAATACAGACCAACTTCCATGTTTTTGTTGTTATTATTATTTTAAATTCATTCACTGTACATCATTTCAGTATACAAAATGAGGTTTTCAATTGAAAATATACTGTATATTGGCTCAATTAAGGATATTACCTCAGTATTATCAACAAATAATTTCCCATTTCTTGTTTCTTATATATTTTGCTTCCTTTTTTTTTTTTAGAGGTTTTTGCTATAGGGAGCGTGCACTTGCCAGACTGACAGAGAGAGACAGAGAGACAGAAAGCGAGAAATCCCCCCCCGGGGGGATGGCCATGCCACAATCCCTTCTCCTCCATTCTCCTCTCAGGATCTTGGGCATGCACGCACACGCGGCCAGCGTGAGTTTTAAGCCACCGGGTCCGGGACACGAACCGTGGTCAACTACGTGGGAGTCCAGCGACATAGCCATTACGCTAACTGCTGGTCCCAATATTTTGCTTCTTTTTTTACTCCCTTGATTCTCTACCTCTCCCCCTCTGGCATTTCCCACCCTTCTCTCACACTGTCTATTCCATGTTTCTTTTGTTGTTGTTTGTTTTTTAAAGCATTATTTTATTTAACTTTATTTATTTATCTTATTTTGACTGGGGAGGGGGGCAGGGTAAAAAAAAGAGAGAGGGAAAGTGAGAAAGCAAGCTGCCAGGCCCAGGACTCGAACCACCGTCAGCCATTTGTAGTCCAGTGCTCTTAACCACCATGATACCTGCTGGCCCCTCTTCCATGTTTTTTAACATAATAATGGTGGACCTCCATTCCTTCATCTGTTAAATTGGGAATAAGAATCCTGACCTTCCAGAGCTGTTGTGTAGATGAAAGGAAATCATGTACAGAGCATTTAGCACAACGCAGAGTACAAAGCAATCTTTCAGAATTGTTCGGTTAGGTATGAGTTATTATTGTCACTGATATTGCCACTTAAAATGAAAATTATCCTCCTAAGGTTGTTACATAGGAACAATTTTAGGGACTGCCACTTTTATTCTTCTTCTCCACAACTCCTTGTAATGTGTTTTGATTACATGACACCCATCTTGAGTTGCATATTTTAAAAATATTCCTGCAAAAAGGAAACAAATAGTTACAACTTACTTGAGCTTCTGTAATTTGCAATTTGGATCTTTTAAGCCTTCACAGAGCAATTTCAAAGCTGAAGCTTCCAGTTTTGTTTCACTAAATTCCAGCTCAGTAAGCCACTGATTGGTGCTAAGAACAGCTGCTAGTGCCCCACAAGAAGCAGGAGAGATAAGGCACCTGTACAACCTATAGATAACAGAAAAATGACCTTATTACCATATTCATGCTCTCCCACCAGAGATACAGAAACTGACAAAAGACACCCTGATGTGAATACAATCAACAAATTATCCAGCTATACCTTAATGCCTGTAATATACAGTTTGGCTGTTTTAATCCTTCACACAGAAGCTTCATTCCTGAATCTTCCAGGGTATTTTTTACGAATTCCAAATCTGTAAGATATTGGTTGGTTTCAAATACCAAGGAGAGGTCTCTACCACAAGAAGCTGTGAGGTGACAGAAAATCAGTCTGTGCGGAGAGAAAGACATTTCATATAAGATACCGAATAGGACTCTCTTTAAAGGTGCTTGTTTGCACATCACTGATGTAATAAACTCAATTTATTCAACAATTCATTCATTGGGTGTTTACCACTGTGCTAGCAATTGAAAACTCAGAGAAAACTAGACACAGACAATGCCCTGGAGGAATGCCCAGTAAATGAGAGAAAAAAAGCTAAGAAAGTTGTGGATTATCACACAGCATAAAAATACTGCAAGAAGTATGCAAAGGTATTATGAGGACACAAAAAGGTTGCACAATTCAGCCTAGCTTGAGGTAGAATTTGAAGGATCAAGAAATACTTAAAAGAGAAAGAAATGTTTGAGCACTATCAAGAAAGGGGAATAGAAACTGAATTGGAGTTAGGTATGGAGAAGGAAAATGGGAGTGGAGAGAACAGGAAGGGCTGAGGGGCAATCCTAAAACTGAGCAGTCTGTGCAAAGGTCAGAAGACAAGAGAGAAGATGCTTCATTTGAGAAACTGCAAATGATTTGCCCTATTTTTCTTTTTCTAAGAGAGACAAAAATCAAGAAATCATCCCCCAGGAATGATGGCCACTCTGCAATCCCTTCTCTTCTGTTCTCCTCTAGGGATTTTGGGCATGCAAGCACACGTGCCTAGTGTGGGTTTCAAGCTGCCAAGTCAAGGACTTGAGTGGCAGTTGGTCATGTGGGAGTCCTGCAATGTAACTATCACACCATCTGCTGGTTCCTGCCATTGCCTCTTCTAAAAGTTTGAAAGGCTATATTTCATGCTATTTCATTCCCTAGACTGGGGAAAGGGTAGGATTACAGGAAGACCTATACTTTCCAGGTACTTAAAAATGATTTATCAAGATCAGATGTTTTGGGGGAGAAATTTTTTTTAAGACAGACTCTCATTATGCTAAGATCCTCCTACCTTAGGCTCCTAGTAGCTGGGACTACAGGCCCAAAACCCTGGTGGATCAAGAATCAAACCTGGGGCTCCTGGGACCAGCAGTTAGCGTAATGGCTATGTCGCTGGACTCCCATGTAGTCAACCATGGTTCACGTCCCGGACCCAGTGGCTTAGACTCATGCCAGGCGCGTGTGCGTGTGTGCCCAAGATCCCAAGAGGAGAATGGAGGAGAAGGGATTGCGGTGTAGCTA